AGGGTATTTTCATGCAAGTAGCACTGCTGAAATGATACATTTGAAGCAATGAGTGTGAGACTTTGCCATGTGATAACATTGCCTATATCAACCTTCTCTTTCCATTTCTCATCTTATTTAAAAAGAGCTGATTATTAAGTGGTTATTAATAAATGGCTAACTGATTGACTAGATGGAAATAATGTCTGGTTAGCTGATTGACTAAGCAAAATTAGGTGTCTGGTTTACTGTTTTACAAAAATGACAATTTTTAAACTGTCATTTTTGTGTTGTCTATTAAGTCAATTAGTTAACCAGACATTATTTCCTTTATTAAAATTAACTGATTGACTAAGACAGCAATAATGTCTAGTGTACTGATTGACTTAGATGCCAATAATAGTCTCATAACATTGTACAATTTTTAGGGCTATTCTTACAGCACAAAACTGAAAAAAGTGATTTATTCAGTCCACTTTCTTTACCTACACCTGATAAACATCATTTTTTAAGCCTAAATGTCAATATTACATACKCACTGAGAATTAAAGGTAATTAATTTTAATTAATTAAAATTAAATTTAATTAATTAATTAAAATATTGAATATTGGAATTTGAGTCGGAAAATAGGTGGTTAAAGCCAGTGGATTGACAATTCTAATTAAAGATCTGAGTGGCCAACCAGACCAAGAGCTAGAAGTACAGTAGACCATTCTTTAGACCTCTTTAATACTTATTCTCATACTCATTAATTATTCACGAGGTAACAGGTCAATCCCTGATTGTAATTTGTATYTAGTTACTTCTGCCTTATTTTCAGTGTTACKTCTACYTTTTTTCAAACAACTACTAGCTAATAATAATAAAAGTATTATAAATAATCAATTTAGTAAAGAATCAAGTTAGTCAGAAAAGGTCTTTGATACATGACTGCCTCAGGAATCGATCCCCATAGACCATCCAGTCTATATATGCACCGTCTTATACCATCTGATCCTGTGGATTAGGCTTATYTGGAATGCCATGAATAGCAGACAAAGACAATTTGAATAGCTTTTGTTTCAGAAACCTGTTCAGGAATTGAAGAAACAACAAACRGTGCTTCTTGCATTTAAAATTATGAAGTGAAAACCTGGGTGGAGATGCAATTAATCAAGATATCTCTGTTATATCAGTATTTGTTTCACTTTTTTTCCCTCCTGAATAATCAATGAGCATGAGACATTGTTCAAAGTCCTCCRGCCCAGACTGGAACTAATTGCACGTTCTTGAAATCCAGTCCAGTCCTCATTGTCAGACTTTAAACATGATTTAAATCACAGCAATTGCAATATTAATTGATAATTTTGATGATCTACAAAAACCTATATTAATTATTTTATTATTAACTGATCGTAAGGATTGTTGACATTAATTTATTTAATTTGTTAATRGCCCAGTGTGTACCATTATGCTTTGGGTACCGTGCGGGCCTGGAGGTGGCCATTTTCAGTTTACCAAAAGTCTATAAACTGCACTGYGCGTTWCGAATCTTTGACCACCTCATTTTTCTAAGCACTTTAAACGCTAATATAATAGTTTTCAACCATCTGACATTCGTTTATTGTGGTGATATTTGGGTACTATTTTGTTGTAAATCATGTTAACAATAACAGAGGCACACAAAGCACAATGACCTGCAAACTGGGACTTTAAGTTCAAGTAAGACAGATGCCATTGAATTCAGAATTCAATCATTGATAWCAAATAAACATTGACGATTCTTATAATCGATTATCAGTGACTTTCATGGATTGATACAAACTTACCATTGTCAATCTCTTGCCATGGWTTTGCTTTTGTGAATGTTGATCGACTGTGTTGTTAGCTGTTATAAATGATTCAGAAAATCCACCTTCAGTAATGACGAATATTCGTTATTCATTAATATTCGCCAAAGACGAACTACAATTAATTTACATGTAACTTTCTTTTACACAACTTAACTTACATGTACATGTAAGCTTACCACACATCGGAGGAAGAACCGAGGCCATTTTCGGTGTGAATCCTGTTCAACACTTCAGATTTTATCCTTAGAAATATGGTTCAGACTTTGAAAAGTAATATTACGTTAACAATTTTACAGAAAACCAGCTGTTCTTGCAAACTTTCAACGTGCAAGGTACTRTACAAAAGAGACGCCAAAATACTGTTGTTTTGAAGTTCAGTTTTCCCTCCAAAAGCAGTGTTGGATTCTGGGAAGGAAATTCTATGCGCATGGGCARARYACCGCATTACGAATAAACGCGGGCTCATAATTTAAAGAAAAATATTTTGGAGGAAAATGGGGAAGAAATCAAACATTCTTCATTTCTAATATTCTTTGTAGGCTAACGAATTGAGTTGAAATATTTTTTCTGCAACGAAAAGTGATTTTCAAAGAAAATTACAATGTTTTGTTAATTAAATACGACACAGGAAGCCCAAGAGAGTTCAGTCTCATTATACGTTCTGGAAGTACAGACTAAATCTGGATTTTTTCAGACATACAGACAAGACACCAGAAAACGGAGCAAATCCAATGGAAATCAATGAATCTCAAAGAAGCCTTTCTTTCTTCACTTCGAACCACCCAAGGCATGATTCTTCTTGGATTTTCCGCGGTTCCTCATTCAAAATCATGTGCGTTGCATGTCTGATAGAAACCCTYGAAGACAAAGAAGCTTTGGCAATCCRAAAAAGAAAATGTCTAACAGAAATTCTTTTGCTTCTGTCGAAAGACAAGAAACTAGTTGACATTTTAACAGCGAATTCAAGGATCAGTTTGCATCTGTGTMAAATTTTGGTGAATCTTTTAGAGTCAACTCAAGATGGGATCAGTCACATGTCTATTGAAGCAATTGTGCAACTTATCGTTGGACTACAAAATGAGRTTTTAGTTCGAGAAATACTAGACATTGTAGAGGATAAAGTACTTAACCTAAACAACTTTAGGAAGACATGCCCTTTTATAGTTCTTCTTGGAAAAATTATCGATGCTATCCCATTACTTGCTGAAGAAATMGTAGCACACAAAACAAAGCTTTGGGGATATTGTATTTCGGGGTTGTCTTTTCCAGATGAAAAGGCGGTTGCGGCTTTGCTATACTTTGTCCTCGGAACTTTCAGAAATAACAAAGCGAAGGAAATAATCTCCGTTGATGTSAAAGTGACAATTTTCAAGAGCTGTTGCGAGAACTTAATCAATGGAAATAACAAGGATGTGAAAGCCAACTCTCTGGCATTGTTACAGAGCTGCATGGTCCTTCAAGATATCGAATTTTTAAAACTTTTATCTGGAGAAGCCAAGGAAAGCAAGGATATACAAGCAATGGTAGCCAATGTGCTMAAGAAACTTGTGTTAAGTACAGATCAAGGCTTACAAATTGGAGGAATACAATTAACTACTAAACTCATGAGTACAGACTCTGAAGAAAGAACGATCTCTGGGAGCCTTCTCAGAAATGGCCTCGCTGAATTTCTTTTTGAGGCTTTGGAAACTAACAGTGACATTGTCCTTGCATCATTATTTTGTTGTTTAACTGAGCTTTGTAACAGTGGCGAGTTTTTCAAAGGCAGTTATTCAATATATGGAATTGAATCTGTAGTTACAGCAGTTGTCAAAGCCATCACTTTACAAAACCCAGAGACCTTACAGCAAGGTCTTCATGTTCTCTCAACAATCATCTCAAACCAAAAGAAAGATGTTCCCTTATTCAGCAATGGCACCATATTTGGTAGGTGCTTGAAGATTTGTGAGGAGTGTCTCAAGGCCATGGAATACAAAGTCCTTGAAAAGACACTGCATTTGATAAAGAGTCTTCTTCGTGTAGATCAGTTACCATCAGGATTTGATATCACTGAGATAATCTCTTCTGTAAATGGTGTTGTCGCAGTGCTGAACAGATTTACAAGCAAAACAGTAGATAACTTTAGCGGTATGCAATCAGGTAGGCTTCAAGATCCTATTATTAGTTTTACTATCATCATTAGTCTTYCTATTATCAAGGGTACTGCACATAAATATCAAAACCTCTTATAAGGACATTGAAACAACCAGCCTTTGTGCTAAGCATATCTTGACCATATTTGTTAGTCAATATCTAGATTCAAAATAGAGATTTTATAATTTTATACCCATAATATGTAACGTTTACAAATTGTAAAAGATTTTTTTAAAAGTTAATTCAGAAAGAGAAAAATATCAAAATATTCCAGAGCATGGAACACTGGAAAATGAATGACAGCTAGACATATCAATGTCTTGTTTTGTGTAATAGTATTATATCCAAGGAAAGAGACAAAAGTGACTGGATAATATTCTTTTATAAAAAAAAAACAAAGCACTACTGTTATTTAAGGACTCCCACCCCCTTTTTATTAGGGAGACCCCCTTGTCAGATTAAATTAATATTTGAACCATATCAACAGAGACAGCTCAAGAGCTACTAGGTGATCTTCTTGAAGTCATATATCAAGTAGGTACTTTCAGTAAAACCTATTCAAGCAAATCTCCTTCATTGGAAGAGGCACTACTTGGTGATCTTTTACCAGATTCCCAGACAGCTAACAGACARTCTTGCAGCCAAGCTATTGATCTCTTTGTACTGAAGGCCATTGATGAGAYATGCATTAGAGCTGTGATGGTGAACTATGAATCTATCACTAAAGCATCTGTATTTAAGGTTCTMTTCAAACTCCTCAATTCACAGCTGACAGATAATATTCAAGAAAAAAGTGAAGCATTTGCCCAAAAACTTGCAAATACTTCATTTATAAGAGTGTCCATGGAGGTTAGTGGTCGCTTTTGCAAAGGCGGTGAAAACATTCCTTTAATGAAGGAACTGCAGGATTTCCATAGAGGTTTGATAATTAATCTTAATGAGGGATACTCTGATGATGAAARAGAAATGTTTGAGTTTGAAGGTATTCCTGGCTCTYCTGATGAATATCTTTCACTGCTGTCACAGTCATGTCTAGATCMCATCACACTGGATGTGTCTGATGAGATGCTTTTCAAGATTCAGTGTTATTGTATAGAAATACTCTATCTGTCCTACATTTTCAAAGACTTCATCTTGGATGACAAGAATCTGATCAGAGGAATCTACAAATTCATTTGCTTGAACAAGAAACTTCAAGTTTTTCCWGCCCAAACATTTAGGCRCATCTTACATCTGTACACAGATATCACTATGAAATACCAAAATGATCAACAAGKTGGATATCTTGAGTCGCAGAGACTTGTACAACAAGAGCTCCTTAAATTAAAAGATGAGGATTTCCATATAGTAGCTTGCTACAGTTCTAGTTTTGTCAAATGGATCTTCCAGAGTGAGCCATTAGCAGAAGCATTTGGATGCAGTTTCCTTAAAAACCTTCTTTCCAAAAATGAAGAATCCATCAATTGGAAATCCTTAAAGAGCAAGAATGCTGTGAAGTTTTTAGCAAGTCTTTTAGAAAGTGAAGATGTGGCCATTGTCAAWAGGGTTTCTCAGGTATTGGAAAACATATTGACTCAAGATAGTGCAACAGAAGGAAACAGTGACACAGTCATTACTGAGCTCATAGAAGAAGAACTCCACAGGCTTTTTCTGAAGAATCAAGGAGTGAGCCTTCCTGGGCATGTATTGTCAGCCATRTTGAATGTCCTACTTTCACTTCAAGTTAGAATGGGTGGACAAGTTGACATCAAGATTTTCCATCTGGTCGTTGAGATCCTGACTAAACCAAGCAACAAAACTTCAGATGTCACTATAGCTATAGTTAACTACATTAATGTAATACTATGGACAACAAGGGCCACAASGTCTGGCATTGCTGCTGTGTTGTTGTCAAATGAAGAGTTTATGCTTTGGCTTCAGAAGGTGATGACTGCATTGGAGTCTGTGGAGGTTTCAAGGGCTGACAGTTCCACAGCCACTGACGTATATGGTGCATGCATGATTTTAATATCAAATCTTGTCTTCTCTCAAGACAAACATTCCATTTCACATTCAATCCATGTATCCTTAGATAAGGAAATCCTCCTAGCTCATTTGAAKGACTACCACAATTGCATTTCTCAACTGGCAAGTCTACTCTTATGGAAGACATTGTTAGATTCAAAGACAAAGACATTTGTGGTCTTTAAGAGAGGGGAAGAGGAAAATCAAGCAGACTGCATTTTAACAGAGATGGATTGCAAAGTTATGTTAGTCTACCTGCAAAATGCATTAATGCATGAAAGCAAAACCATCAGGAACTGTGCAATGGGGTGCCTCCAAGCATTCCTGTCGTCTGGTGAGAGAACAAGCTATTGTTCATCAAATCCATGGAATAAAGTGGTACTRGAATCCTTGATYTTTTCTTTGACACATGAAAAGTTGGATTCTRACCTCCTCCAGTTTTGCAAGATCATGGTAAAAGCTAAGAAATTCTGGAACATGGAAGAAGCTGTTGAATCAGCAACTGCATTCATTTTCAGACAAATCCCTGATGTTCCCCTATATTTGGATGACCAAAGACAGATGCCATCAATAGCACTACAGTGTATTGGTTTCTTAAAGGAACTAGTATCAGTCAACTTGCACTTAGTTAGATCAATGACAACTACTTCTCTGATGACATGGTTGAAGAAAGCAGAGGAGATGGTAAACCAGAGTAAAACTACCAAGAGAATGTGCTTTATCAAAGTAAACCAACTAGTTCTTCTTCAAGAAATTGTGTTGGGTCACACAGAGATTCCAGATGCAAGGWCAATTTTGCTTATTCTGAAAAGACTTGATAGAAAAAGTGCCACGACAAAGGAATAGAAATTTCATGTTTTGGAAAACATATGCCAGAATCCAAACACCAAAGCAGCAGTGTGTAGACAGCAAGGTGACTAGATATACTGTAAAAATAGATTGAAATAGGTTCAATAATAGGTAATACTCCAAAGAACTTATGAATGAGGCTACTGTAAGGTAGCAATACTTCTAATTAAGCAGATCATCTTCCTAACAATGTAAACATTTCTAGTGCAATGTTGGTCTATGTATCAGCACCAAGAGGATTAGGGATAGAGACAATCCCCTATTTTCCTCAATCTTTCTTAGGCACACTACACAAGAAGCTATCATAAAATGCAGAACTAGTTAGATTATACAATCAAATTATAATCAAAAAAATCTTTTTACAKCTTGTCCCGTGACACCAATGTACAAAGCAATTTCACACATTTGAGGTCCCAATTTCTTAAAATTATTAAATTTTTAATAAGTGCTTTTGAAACAATATTTTTTTTAAATTGAAAAATAGAGTCATTACAACAAGAATAACAGCTTAGCTAAGCACCACTCGCTGCAGGCTTCAAGTTAATTTCAGAGAAAATTGGAKWTAAAATCCATGATTATGATATTATTTGAATATGATGTCATCTGATGTTCTTTATCAAAGTTAAGCTGTTTTATCTTGAGTGCTCTTAAATTTACCAAACTGTGAAAGATTGTTATTGGTAGCCCAAAAAATATTTTTGACTTTTAAAAACAATAACGTAAGGTGAAAATAAACAATCAGTTAAGTTTATGAGCCCATCACTTGATATCATCATATTAGATTTKGAAAAACAACTTTCTCTGAAATTTGAAGTCTGCATCCAGTGGCACTTTGCCAAGCCATTATTCTCTTTATATTGATTCTGTTTTCAAAATTAARAAATTGCTTCATGAGCATTTTAAGGAAATCTAAATAAAATTGTCCATAGTTCTTTTCATCAGTCTGATTTTTCTTTTAACTCATTCTCAGTATTTTCATTTGGAATCTTCTTATGAAATACTTCAAGCATTTGTTGACGAACTTTATCAGTCAGATCAGTGACATCATCTGGCRTTAATCCTTCAGTAGATACTGGTGGAAGAACTGTTACTTTAATAGTGCCTGTCAATACAACATGGAACAAAAGAAAAGATGAATGATCAAATATTCAACAATTAGATCTCGATAGCAAGTGGACTACAAGCTATCAGCTCGTAGTCCAAGAGGCMGAGAGATCTAATTGTTTTAGTATTACCATATTAGTTGGACAAAAAATGAATGAAATATATTATAACTAAGTGTTTTTATTGCTAAAAATACGCAAAAAGTTGTCGCTTTTCGCTAGTCGAGGACTACTGAAAATAGACCCCGAGTAGCGTAGCCAATCAGAACGAAGGATTTGCAATAGTCCACTAGTATGGTAATACTAATAAYAGATATTAACATAATATATAAAATATGTTCAGAAATAACATTTCGTATGGGCATTTAAATATGCAAGCTGCAAGCSCATAMAGGTTGAAAGTCAAYATTCTAAATAGCTTATCAAAATCCAACATAATCTAAAGTTAGCATATTTTKCTAAAAATCTCTTATAAAAATATCATATCAGGGCTCGAAATAACAGCCAGACAAGGGCAATGTCCTTCCAAATTAATTGCTAGATGAACGGCCAAATCAGGTTTTGAAAGGACAAATTGACCTGCCACATTTTTAGACAAATAAAAAAAACAATCAATTCCTAATTCGCTTAACAAATCTTTTACAAGCCATTAAAATGCTTGCTGATCTTTCTGAATACAAAACCTATAAATCAAAAGAAAATAATAGTATAATAAAATTTTTGTCCTTTCAAAATTCGACATGACCTTCCAAAAATGAATTTGGAAGGACATCGTGTCCTGCATCATGTCTGGCCATTTTTCAAGCCCTGCATATAAAAATTTGGACATGGCAATGATTTTCCATTGTTGCCCTAATTAATGTATATTAATCATCTTATTTTTTTCTAATAATTTCACAACATAACATTACCTGATTTAAATGTTAAAGTTTTCTTGCTGAATATATCATCATAGTTAGACACAACAACGGGGATAATTGGAATCTAAAATTAAAAGTAATGTAAGCTTATTAATGTTAACTCCATCTTTGTGGACTACTTGCCAAAAAAATATGAATCCATCCTTGACATYAGTATTTTTGTTTCCTTTTGATTGATGGATGTCACATTCAAAATATAACAATTTTAAAAAAAGCTTAAAGTGCTACTTGCATGAAAATGGCCTTATTTTAAAACTTGAAGAAATACAAATATATGACTCATTTATATCTATTAAAAGCAATTGCGGGAAAATATTTGTTTGGGAATTATCCCACATCAGAGAAATTTTGATTCAAAAGATGGAAGAACAAAAGGATGGAGTAAATGGCATCATCTACTCCAACATTTTTTGCCCAAATTGTATCAATATCTTCTTGAAATCTGTTGCTTCATGATTATTAGACCCATATGGATAGGTATTTGATTTCCAAATCTTTTCTAATGTTTTTCAATTTTTGTCCAAGTAGCCCTTTAATAGGAATAATTAATGTAGACATAAAGGAGAGTGTCTTGTATTTAATATTTATAATGACACAGATATTAGTTACACAGACAGCAACATTCTAGTTTGGCAAAGGCAGGTATCAGRTATTCTTGTTTCTATTTGTCCAGATTGATGGATGTCACATCATCACWTGATCATTTGCAGTCACCACACTAGAATTGCTGTCTGGAACACTAAATATAATAAATCATAATACTTGCAGGTCTTGGCACTCTCTCTCTCTTTTGTCTACGTTAAACACACAGGGGTAGCTGGAAGGATCATGTAAACAAGCATCCATGCTTATAATTGCACATAAGGAATGAAAACACTGGAATAATAGCCGACTTGCGAATTACGCATCAATAGTCACATACAAAGGAATCAAGACGAGGCGCCATGCTTTTTTGTGAAAAATCTATTGTCTTTAGCATGGCGCCTCGTCTTGATTCCTTTGTATGTGACTATTGATGCGTAATTCGCAAGTCGGCTATTCATCCCCATTTACTCATTTTAAGCCCGTGTACATCCATTTCTCACCCCTCCCAAAAAATCGGTGAGAGAACGTCTGTGATTTGCCGTTGCTAATCGTGTTCTGACATAAATTTGCATATATAATGTGACATGCACGTTAGAGCTTGAGCAGGCATGTTAAAAGGTCAAGTAAACAATGGACCGTTCTGCAACATAATTCGAACATAATGCCAAGAGATTTTGTTTTTGTTTCAGCCATTCAATTCTAACTTCGACCGCGGTTTACATTATTGTCTCTGCCCATTGGTCTATGCCATGCTCTCTCTATCTTCGGTAGAGGTGTCTCGTCAGAATGTGGTTTTTCTGTAATTTGCGTCATACAATGACTTCCATCAACTGTACTAATATCTTCTTGTGAAGATTATGTTGTCCTCGGCAGTTTTGAAGCTGTAACTCTGGCGCTTTCGCAGGCTATTATGAGATGTAGAATACAAACTACTAAGCCCCCTTCTCTTCTTTAGCACTTCTGACAAATGCAAGTTTTGTTCGTGAAGATTGGCGGTGAATTCTAATGACATTATAATTCCACATCAATTTTAAATTTACCGTGACCGAATATAAGATTAAAGCCTAAACTTTTACAGAGAATTTGAGAGCAAATAACATATTCAATTTGAGGCATTCTACATGTTCCAGTGGTTTACCATGAAGGCTTGTATTTCACTTGTGCAACCAACTTTACATGCCATCTATTGATTTTGGCCAATCACAAGTCTCAAAAGTCAACGGTCAATGAAATTCGTCCTACAAATCTTGAGGACCTCAGAACACGATTAGMAACGGCAAATCACAGACGTTCTCTCCCCGATTTTTTTGGAGGGGTGAGAAACGGATGTACACAGGCTACTCATTTTGAGATATTTCAGATGTTGTACAGTGCTATAGTAATTGTAAGTTCCATAAAAATTAATCTCCTCAGCTCCCTACTGAATGAATACAATTTCATTCCWCTTGTACACACCTGTGCTTGCTGTGCCACATGAAATGCTCCCTTTTTAAATGGAAGCAGAGTTCCTACTTGCCGCCTTGTTCCTTCTGGAAAAATCCACAAGTTCATCTGGAATTATCAAACAAGCAAAATTCATTTTATAATTCATTATGATGCATCTTTATTTGTTTGTTAAATAAAATTTGAATCAGCCTCTCAAGTTAAGTCATAACAGATTGTGAAATAGAGACAAAAGAAAAGCGTTAKTACTCCRTTTTCAAATTCAAAGTGAATAACCACTGTCTTATTTGACAGCAGATTCTCTCACGCAAAGACCTTACAAACATAAAAGAAAGCACAAGAAAATGTAAGTAAAATAGCACTAACAATTTACAGGTTAACCCTGTATTCYCAGAAGGCTTACRTGTAAACCTTAGGGTTTCTCAACTTGGAGAAAAATCAAATTTTCAAGGCTATTATAATAGTGACATTTTCTTGTGCTTTCTTTAATCTTWAATGCTAATCCGGCAATGGGGCGGGCAGCAGTGGCTGGCCTAGAGAACAATGACAGGCAATGGTAACATAATAAAACGGGTAGATAAAAAAACGGGTTTATGTTTGTAAGGTCTTTGCGTAAAAGAATCTGCTTACAAACAAAGCAGCGGTTGTTCACATTTCAAAAATGGAGTRCTTTTAATTAATAACACTTTTCTTTGTCTCTATAAGGCATATTAGCGTATTGAATGTTTATCTATGTATTTCACTTTTTTTTTTCTTGCTTTACCATACTTCTTATTTAGAGCAGATTTTGTATGACTGTGCAATGGCACGGATGGTGGAGGTATATGGCACAATCACAGAAACTAGCCTGGTAGTGACTCCTTGTGAAGGGTTCATGAACACATCACCATCACGGTATGGTCATGGCATGGAAGTAGAGTGTTTTTTGAGTCATATAAAATCTGTTCTACTTTTTTATACAAGTCATTTGAGGTATTATTTCCTTTGTATTTCCCTTAGTTACTCTTTGTGTTATGTGATAATTATGTAAGTAGAGTCAACACACTTGTACTGTACATTTGTGTAAAAAGATAAATTTAACACTGTAAAAAAGTATGTGAAATAACTTACTGACGTTTCAGACGTTAATCCTTCATCATTCCTTCATCCTTCATCGGAGTAAAGAGATGGAACTAGGTATAGTGTGAGTTTATAGTTTATATCCGACAAAGGATTGGCGTCCGAAATGTCAGTAAATTATTTCACATACTTTTTTATGGTGTTAAATTTATCTTTTTACACAACTTTCTTTAGAAACACCAACCAATGTCAACTTTTGATACATAATGCGCACTTTGAATGGCTGACGACCGTGTTTCTAAGCTTGCTTCTCTCGTGCTTTTCAACTATATCAGAGGACAAAGACTCGCTCACCAATTTATATCTCTTAAATATAGAATCAATATTACTGAACCAGAACAGCGTATGAAACTAAAAGGTAAATATACCCTGTTCAGCTTCATTGCCCTACACTACTAGTCAGAAAATATTTTGTAAGTATGTGTTATAAACTACAASCAATATTTTAGATTTAGCAGCATGTTCGTTGTACTCTGGACATTATTTTACAAATTTTGATCCTCGGGATAAAGGGAAGGGAATACTCCCCCTCCCTTTGCTCTCTATGAACAATGCTTGTCAAATGTACAAATTTACTGTAAAGCTATTTATCACAAGTAGAAAATTTTYATCTTTTTATTTCAATAAAAGACTGMCACATTGAAYTTAGAAYATTCTCGAAATGTTCAGGTAAAAATGGATTAAGAGAGTGGAGCGAGAGAGTCTAGTCCAATGGATTGTTTATGTTCCATATGGCGTGACGTTCTATTTCACCTTGAGCGAACTTGATCGACCTTTGTTTTGATTGTAAAAGAAAAAAAAGAACAATATGACGTGTACAAATAAGTMTATTTTTAACATCACCAACTTAGACTGTTTTAGACATCGTTAATCTTAATAAGCTAAAAGTGCAATATAAACTCACTTTTTCAGACTTGATCCGTTTTACCGCACTATCCATTGCCCCTCGAGCACTCCTTGCATTTTTTCGCTCAACGAAAACTGTCCCACACAACCAGGCAGCCTGACCAAATATCGGTGTATAAATGAGTTCCTTTTTTGCTACAAATGTTGTATCATGTGGGCACAGCTTCATAATACAGAACATGTCCAAAGAGGATTGGTGATTGGAGACGATTATAAAGTTGCTTTTGATTTTGTCTCTGTCTAGGTGTTCTGTTCCTTCTGTCGCTACAGTAATATTGAACATCCTGGTTGCCAAGTACAATATAGTTCCTGCAAATCTGTGAAAATTATCTGGGTTTCCAGGCCGGAGAAGTCCAACAAATAGTCCATACAACGGTAGCAAAATCAGTGAGCAATTATATGCGAAATATTTCAGTTTGAAATGAAAATATTGAGAATTTTTGACCAACAAATACAGGATCAGGAACACAAAAGCTAAAATTACAAACCAATATCTAGAATCCATAGCGAAAAGACTACGTTCATGCTAAACTATCGTAACAGCTACTCACAACTGTACATCTAGTTATTTACAAAGGAGTCACATGTTGCCAAATACCCAACATGCAATGCAGGTAAGAACGATCCAACCAACCTTGGATGACCTTGGGCCTCCTGTGGTTCAAAACATATTTTGTTATGATAAAAAAAAAACTTSCTTGAAAATTAGATATCTTAAAAGTGAATAATAAACATTGAATATTGATAGATATCCAAAGAACATTGGAATCAGCAAAAAATTCAAAGACGCCTCAAGTCAGGAGATCCTGCCTATTAGTGTATTTGGGTGCTTCATAAAAAAAATTGTGAGGGTAACTACTAGCAGAAGATAGCATAGTTCTTCCAGAAAACAGCAACAAAAAATGCGACTACTGATTACTAGTAATAAAAAAATTCCAACTTGAAATGATAACGCAGAGCATCTTGGGATAGAAATATTTTGACTTACATCCGGGACTTCCAGTTTCCTTGACCTTCATTTTGCCGGTTTAGAGGGACAACGTGGTTTGGGTAACGTGTTGTCTTTTCTTACCAAAAACCCATTTAAACATTGCTAAACCTACATACTCATGAGCAAAGATACTAAGGATGACTTTCCATACTGTCACGAGGTCTCAAAATACGAAAAACTCGCCAAAATTGGCCAAGGAACGTTCGGGTAAATTGGCGGTCAGTGGCCGCCATCTTGTTTCCTCTCCCTTGAATGCTAGTCAGAATCTAATGTAGTTTTCGCTTTTGATAGCGAGGTTTTCAAGGCAAGGAGCAGGAAAAACCCGAAAGAAATGGTCGCCCTCAAGAAAGTCCTTATGGACAACGAAAAAGAGGGGGTATAAACTGATTATTTGATCAATATCTTGTTAATAGTTTTGTCGTTTTATAATAGTTCAAATATGTAGTTTTGTCGTCATTTATTCACATTTCTCTAAATTCATGGGGTCTTTTTACGCCGTGTTCAGTTCCCAATCACTGCTCTGAGGGAAATTAAGATTCTCCAGCTTCTTAAGCATGAAAATGTGGTTAACTTGTTGGAGATCTGCCGTACTAAAGGTGAGCACAACTGACAAATGCATTGACCATTGATCATGGACTATTATCACGATGTTTTCTGAAATATTTGCAATAAAGACATCAAAAACAATATCAATTAAGTATAATTATTTGTTTGTTTGACTGTATTTCAAATTTTCCACAATCCAAATGAAATTTTGGAAGAAAAAAAGAAATTTGATCAGAGTAGATTTCATATGACTGTGCCTATGCAGACAACAGACTCCAGACAAACTTCAAAGTCACACTTTGTTGTCTGTTAGTGATACCATGTGAGACATTGAACTGAGGAAAGGTCAGGGCTACAGTTCAAGACAATCACTATSAGAAGGTTGTTGGTTATTTTACAATAATATGAAATCTACTCTTGATGCTTAAAACAGCTATTGTAATATCTGGAAATCAATAAGGAAATGGTGTAAAGAAATCATGGAGTAGGCAACAAAAATGATTAGAGTGGATGAATTATCTGATTTATTGAGAGTGAAGTTCATTTAAGTCAAGATGGAAGACCCTTCTCTGTATGTGGAAATTAGCAAATGAAAAAGGCGAACATGAACTCAAATGAAAAAAGCGGCAACAAATTAAAGGAAAAGTCATTGTTATGCTTACTTCAGCACTTCCCACTTCCCTTTCAAAATGAAACCTGTATCGTGACTGTAAAGTTTTCAAAAATGCTCACTGGTTATATAGAATACACATATTCTAGTATTTCTTGTCTACCTATACAGGAATGTAAAGGAGTTTTGTCCATCWGATTAGCAATAGTCACTGTCCAACAGCCATGTTGTCGTAATTTTCTGGTTATAAGTCATTCTTAGAGATCCAGACTGTGATTTGAGTAGAAATGCATAAAATTGTAAAMGTTAACCTGTCAAGTTTGTAAACTATTGTGGGTATAAAACCCATCAAGTCTCGCCATAAAACATTTTTATTGAATTTTTTTTTACATTTGAAAACGGTCAATGCGACAAGATTCGTTATTTTTGCTACACGGACAAAAAAATTTTGAATAACTGAAAGTGAAAATATAATTGTATATGGCAATCCCGAGATTCTTTGCATGCTCAAGAATGTTGACTGTGTCCTGGTGGTGACAACGTTTTTTGAAATAGGTGTATTTGGTACCATATTGGTGATCAAAGTTTGATTAAAAATAGCCTGTGCTGCTGAGGTTTTTTGTTTTTGTTTTGTTTTATTTTTTGTTTTATTTTTGTGTGTGTGTGTATTGTGATATTTTTATTTGATATCTGGAGCATGGAAAACAATAAATTTATATCAGTGTTGGAATCACCCCATAAATCTTGAATTACTTCAATGATTTCTTTTCATTGTCTGAATTGTACAAAATACATATAGTGCTAGTAGAAAGAAATAATCTGGAAATCCAAAGCCCTGTCATGCAATTTTATCTGGCAATATTTATTTGACACGTAAAAACTATATTACCAGGAACTTGGAGTGAACCCACAAGCTTGTACTTTTAATGGAGTTTTGAACATTTTATGATCAAGAGGAGAACATTTAACTCAAAACCATGTGCAATATTCAGGAATGCCAGCTTTCCAGAAACACGCACAAAAATGTTTCTGATCTAAACAGACAAATGCAGTCACTTGGTTTTGATTTGTCGACCTTCAAAGTTTTGAACATTTATGACATCAAGAGTGTGTCATACCATGACAAATTAAAGTGCTACTTGCATGAAAATGGCCATTTTCAAAACTTCAAGCAATATATGACTCATTTAAATCTATTAAAAACAATTGCGGGAATTTTTTTTTTTTTTGGAATTATCCCACATCAGAGAAATTTTGATTCAAAAGATGGAAGAACAAAAGGATGGAGTAAATGGCATCATCTACTCCAACATTTTTTGCCAGATTATTATGGATTTGTATCAATATCTTCTTGAAATCTGTTGCTTCACGATTATTAGACCTATATGGATAGGTCTATTTGATTTTCAAGTATTTTGTAATTTGCAATTTTCGTCCAAGTAGCCCTTTAARGCATGTGCATTTTGTTTTTTTACCACACTTTTAGTCCAAAAATTAGAGGAAATATTTCTATTCTTTCAACTATATAGAGTATAGTGTCAGTGCAGCGATCAAAAAATTTACACTATTGTGGTAAAAATAAAAATTAATTGTGTTGACAGGGCTTTCTTCATTATAAGTATACAGGTTTTGTTTCTCTATTTCACACATTGCTCCTTGTTGTTTTGTTGTTTTTTCGTCATGGTGTAATTATTTAGTAGTGTTTCCCTAACTTAAAATTATAAAAAATTGAATCATTAAAAACATTTCTTACTGTAGATGACTTTAGCTAACTTAAATTTTCATTTATTTTCAGCCCAACCTTACAATCGCAACAAAGCCAGCATATATTTGGTRTTTGAATTCTGTGAGCATGACTTAGCTGGACTTTTGAACAATCCTGCTGTAAAATTCTCTGCATCTGAGATGAAAAAGCTCAGCCAGATGYTGTTGAATGCATTATATTTCATTCATAGTAACAAGATATTACATAGAGACATGAAAGCTGCCAATGTCCTTATTACTAAAAATGGAATACTGAAACTGGCAGATTTTGGACTTGCAAGAGCTATTCACATCAACAAAGAACAAAAACAACGATACACAAATCGAGTTGTAACCTTGTGGTACCGTCCACCTGAACTGCTTCTTGGAGAGAGAAATTATGGTCCTCCAATTGAYTTATGGGGAGCAGGGTGTATTATGGCAGAGCTGTGGACACGTAGACCAATCATGCAAGGAAATACTGAACAGAATCAATTAACTTTAGTTTCACACTTGTGTGGGTCTATTACATCTGAAGTGTGGCCAGGCGTTGACAAGCTTGAGCTCTTCAGCAAGCTTGTACTACCAGAACATCAAAGAAGACGTGTAAAAGAACGCCTTCGCACCTATGTAAAGGATCAGTATGCTTTGGACTTGCTTGACAAAATGTTGACACTAGACCCTGCACAGCGTATCGATGCTGATACAGCTCTGAACCATGACTACTTTTGGACAGATCCAATGCCCACCGATCTCAGTCGGACTTTGGCACTACATAATCAGTCAATGTTTGAATAYCTYGCTCCWCCAAGGCATGGAGGTCCAAGGCCCGCTGTGGCATCTAAACCGGGTGCAGCACCTCAACAAAGTATTGTACAGAGTACYGGAACATTTGATAGAGTCTTCTAGTGTGAATCAGAAATATTTAAAATGGTCTCATTTTAAATTGGGAAATGACGTGGAGACATGACCTCGCATAGTACTGACAGTTATCACTATAATTAATGCTTCATGAAACAATGTATGGATATCCAAAAAAAAAACTACAAAAAAAATCGAAAAACATATAAAACAAGCCAAAAAAAATCAACAAAACAAGATGAAACACAAAGAAAAAAGAAAACAGCCGAAATAATGAAGGTCAAGGAATGTTTTCACTACAATCTCACTCAATTTAATTTTGCTAAAGATGTTAATATTTTGCACGTAGAGAGTGTAASTATAGTACACCCTTCAGCTACATTGCAATATTTGTTGTATACCCATGCTTGATAGTTAAGGTAAGATAATCTATTGATATAAATCTGGCTAAACCTGATTTAGCTTTGATTCTTTAGAGTACATAGAGGATATTACATGGGCACATGGAAGTACTAATTTTATCTTTGAGTGTTCAATCGATATCTCAAAAGTGAGTGTAGCAATCCAGTGAGATATCAGTTGAAAACAAGAAGATAAAATTAGTACTCCCAAGCAGTCATGTAATGTTCTGTTTATTATATACATATCAATCTATTATGTAGTACATTTTGATCTAATTAGTTGGAAAAATGTGTCACCATGCCAACAGTGATATCTTCACATGTGAAAGATATGATATCTTTTCATGGTTCAAGATATTGCATTTTCACAATGAGAGAAAACCCGGTATCTCATTGATATGTATATAATAACCCATAAGAATACATATACTTTATGGACTTCTTAATTACAGAGCCCAAAGTACAATTTCAGATATCTGTATGGATGAAGTAGCATTTTTCCCCTATTGAAGATTTCTAATAATGCATTTACACTGTGTGAATGCCTTTCATGGGAATAATATATGTGCTCTACCCACTAATAATGTTTTAAAAATACAAGGCAAAAATTTGCAAATTATTTATAAGCGTTTTGTGTAAAACTGTTAGCATTAATCAAGAACGTTAACCCTACCAGAAGTAGTTCAGAATTCAAAAGTTATATAGTCTTTTTTTCTAATAATTTTTTGTTTTGTTAGCCTTAGAAATTAGTGAATTGTSTTATGATTCATTGTCAGGTTTTTATGTAGTAGATCAGACATGAGTTTGGTCAGTGTACCATAACACAAACGTGACCTGAAAATAATAAAGGCCATAACCACTTATYAACCAGTCACYTTCACAGMCTACCATRTTGWCCCATTTCTCTAGTAAGCAGACTGTTTGTTTGGGTGGAACAGGAAGTCTGACAAAAAGGTAGTCTGTGAAGGAGACTCTTTTAGCCACTGTAAGGTGTTTTGATGCACTGATCTAACTCCACATTTGATCTAACTTCTTAAGTTCATGGATAATGATCAGATGAATTCAAAGTGAAGTTTGGTTAATTTGTCATTTTTTGGCCTATGCATGACAATGTTACCATACCATTTTTCATCTTTTATAATTATTCTTGAATTTTAGAAAAAAAAATTTGAAGTACAGTGTAATTATATTGTATTTACATGCTTATTCAAGTAGTTGAGTATACCTTTCAATTTCGGTGTTTGGAAATGCTCCATCTAAGTTCAGTATGAGTTTGGGTTGTCCTGTTGGTTGGTAGTACTATACACCCTTACTTCATAAAGTATCATACTTAAAAAYCATGATACTTTGATTTTGCCATATAGAGAACACCCGCAAAGGCCCTCTGTCTCATACTGGCCATTTCCAAATAATCACAATTAATTGTCCTATTTCATTATGATGTCATATCAGGACATTCTAATTTTTTGACGCTAAGGATTATGGTCGCCATATGGGATCAGAGTGACTGCATATAGAATAAGATGTACATCAGCAATCTTTGATACATGACGTATGTCAAAACACGATAAAAATTGCAGTTCTACTTTCGAAGAGTTTCTACTGTTTCTGAGCATGTTAACATACTGTGACGTCATAATGAAATAGGGTGATGACCAATAAGATCGGTATGAACTCAATGGTTATATTGTTGTTCAGTTTAGATATAAGCTCATAAGGGAATTGAAACGTGTTGCCACTGACTGATCCGCGCCTCAGTATTCAAAGTGATATCTGTGACAATTTCGAATCAATATTTGAAACAGAGCTTGAACCAAAATTATTCACCAACATATTTTTAAAAAACGGAATATAGAACGATACAAAAAGAGGAGAAAATGACTTGAAGATGTATGGTCGAGYGTTTTTTTCTGAAGTCGAACTATGGGCTGTTGCAAATAGCGGATGGCTAGAGAGCCAATCAAAGTGTAGTATTTGTAATAGTCCGTATGTTGGACGAAATATGTTTGATTGTTAGCGTAGTTCGTGTATAGTTTGCCGGACATAAAGATATCACTTCTAATTGAGAAGACCAAGGTAAACGGAATTGTTCGGGAGCATTGAACACAATGTACAGCGGTTATATGTTTCAATCCTTTATRWCTATCTAGTTTTGAGTTGTTTGTTGCTTTGAGTTATTTGTGTACTTGTCTTCTACATTTTTACACACTGAAATCAGCTGGCTGATACGAAAAAAACACACACAATGTTAGGCTAGTTTGTTAGATAAATCTCTATGTTGAAAATCACATCTGTTTTGTTATCAACATTAGAATATTACTATCGTTTGGAAATTGTGAATGTTAGCGCGCATTCAAACTTTATATGAAATAAAAGTGGTATCACTGTCRATGTGTTTTAATTTTGTAAGCAAATAATGTGATTTTTTGTGGCGGAAGGTTTTACTTTATTCTTTATTTGTTTGTTTATGTACGGTTTAATATACGAGCATGCAGCAATGTTTTTATCCAATCTTTATACCCGATAAAACWCGACTTCCTAGCATTCTTGAGAAATGGTCGTAAACTTTTAAGTTAAATTGGGCAAACTGATCATGCGCGAAGCACTTAACAAAGCACTCTTGTCTTCCCACACTTTATACGCATAAAGTAAAATAAAAGTCGTGATAGTTGTTTCATTGAGACCTTTGCCAGGGTCATTTATTTGTAAATTGTAACGTTTTTTCATCAGTCTTAATAATGGCTCGGTGAGCCGAAAGCTCGACTAATTAAATAAAAGTTTAGGTTGAAGTAACGTTTAAATCATTATGAAAGTTCATTATATTTATAGAATACAAATGACTAATATTTTATCAGATATAAAGGTCCATGCATGTGACCAAATAGGCTCATTTTATTGGCCTAATCCGGGGGGGTACTCCCCTATATTCGCTATACGGGGACGTGCCGCCAAACAAGGGTATCGTTTTCAGCGATTTTACTCTGGAACAGGGTATCGATTTAAACGAATTTTCTCTGGAACAGGGTCCGGGGTTTAATTCCAGAATTATTGATGACGAGTAAAAATTCGGTCTACACGCAGGCTAGTGCTGGATTTTCTCTGGAACGGTATCGTTTTCAGCGATTTTACTCTGGAACAGGGTCAGGGTTTTGAGGTCCCAACGGCACACCCCCACCCAATTAAGTCAGGCCTAATAACTCATTAATTGTGAATGCGTTTTTGATGTATTTCTTGTGGATTGATTTTATATTATAATAATTTTGGCGTTTTTGCTGTTTTGTTCGAAAGTCGGCAATGCGCGTTATTTTTATTGTCTGGTAGCGGGAAAACTTGAAATTCAATCATTGTGCATGTCTGCGAAATGCATTCTTTTTTGCGGGGGGACATGAATTACTAGAGTGAAATATCAAGATTTGAAAAATAGACCAAATCCCGCATTTGCTTGGATGAACACGAAACAATGGCTTCATTTCGAGGCTGGAGTTTTATCTTTTGTCGAAAACTCCAGCCTCGAAATGAAGCCATTGTTCCGTGTTCATCCAAGCGAATGCGGGATTGGTCTATTATAAAGAAAATGGTGGATTTATCGATTTCAAGGTGCGAAATCCCCTGGGGTTAAATCAATTCGTACCTTTATAAAAAAAATGTTCTCGACAAGTGCCAAAACWTAGAGATAGACCACAAGTAGTATCGAAAGTAAGAAATGGAGATTTTGAACAGGGGATGGGGTCAACATAAACAGTACTGGAAAAGAGCCCATGATCCCTGTGGATTATAAAACTTTTATTTTCATTGTCATTCAAATTTAAGAAAGTTTATTTTATTGCCACAGAATAAAATTCATTCCTGATATTAAGGCCAAAATAGTGGGTATCGAAACGTTAACTTGTTTACTAAGTTTTATTACTATTAAAATGTCTTAATACCGAATGTTTAATTGTTAAATGGGTAAATATAAACTAGATTTAATAACATTTTTTTCAGTATCTTACTCGCGAACGTGAAGGGTTAATTATTGAAAAGCACAGACGCGAATCGGACATTGACTACATGACCAAATAAGGCTACGTGRATGTTGATTGACGATGMGAAACATCCACAAAATCTGATGACAAATGATTGCACAAGGGGGGAGAGTAAACTTACCAAGCAATACACRACTTTCATAAAAAATACTGGCTAGAAAAGAATAACAATTATTATGAATGTGATATTATTTATTATTCCAGTTTGTGTTAAATATGCACTCGAAGAGAAGTTTCCATTTTATAAAKTATGACTTACAAAAAACAATGGATCGTGGAAAGCACAGTCAAATTAGTCAACAATCCATTAACGTTATTGAAAAGTAAAGACATGGTTTTTAGAATTTCCAAGAAGAATTATAATTCAAATGAAAGGTTATTAACACTATAAAGAATGTTTGGTACTTTATGGTCAAAAAGAATTAAAAATATAATGTATGCAAATGACTTAGTTGTTTTCTTCGTTACAACCGAACAACGTCAATGGCTGGAGTATGCCAGGAAATCACGTGCCTGGATATGGGGGCACGCCAAAGCTCATATCTAATCGCTAAGACAAGCGCTGACAGTTCAATAATCCAGTGAGAGATTTCATATCAATTCTATTGTCTTTCTTTTCAAATTCCATGCGTTTTCTCGGGCAATAAAACAAAAGACATGTTGCCTTGGTTTTGAGGCTAACACAGAGCAAACAAGGACTCGAAATCGGAGTATTTGGATATACATTGTGGTGTACAAGTTGTTT